CAGTAAGCGGGTATCCATGACAAAACCCAAGGGCACTGCCCTACAGCAATGAAGTCTTGGCTAAGCAGCAGCAGAAACCGAAAAAGGTCAGAGCTCCACGGTAGCCCTGCTCCATTTTAAAAATAAAGCCCATCAGTTTTGTAAAAAATGAGGGAGATTCTTCAATGGTTTTCAGATCAGACCTGGGATGTCTCAACACAGTTCTCCCAAAGACACCAGGTGAAGAAAGGGAAATGCTCAGACAAGTATGCAAGGACAGCACCACAGAGCTTCGCTGACATTCATGCTACCCCTCGCTACCAAGGGCGGGACAAGAACAGAAAAGACTTTGCGGCTTTGCAGAGGGCAAGAAACAGGGTTAACTTTTCCCCTGCAATGAATTTGCTACTCTTTTCCTGTTCTTGTGCTCCCAGAGGTACAACTCCCTCTGCCATAATTTGTTTTTCTTCCTTTAGACAGGGACAATTTCTACAAGGTTCTGTACCTGGCTGGTCTTGCAGTGCCGCCTCTTTAAGATTTTCAGTGGAATCCAGGACACTTGGTTTGGTGATCTGCAGCTGCTCCATTTCACATCTTGGATAATGCTGCTGAAGTCCACCAGAAGGAGCCTTTGTGTATCGGTTTTGCATAAGCCTCAAGGAATATATTAACTTGTAAGTAAAAAGCCAGTGAGTTCTCTTAACTATGTTGAATTACCACAAAATTAATTTTCCCAATAGGATGCTCTGGATTTGCAATACAAATCCTGTACATTAAGAATGTGAATGGTTGTACACTACTGCTAAAGATGACATTTCTCCAGGCTCCTCATTGATTGACCAGTGTAGTTTTATTTCTTAAGAAATACAAAGAACTAAATACAGGCCTACAATAGCACTTATCAGATCTGTGTTCCCCTTTTTGCTTGCAGTCTGCTCTCAGATTTGTGCTAAGCATTGTCCAGCGTTCCCTAAGGCAGCTTTGTACTTTGAGATACACCTATCTCTGCTGGAGCTCTCTTTGACCAGAGAAACTTGAAACACACTCTTCTCAGGCACTCTTATCATTGTAGTAAAAGCACAGGAAGGTGTCAGCAAACTAGCTCTGCCAAGCTCCTGCAGTTTTGATCTGGTGGCTGGATTTAATCTGTTGGTGTTTTGGGGAGGATGACTGCTTATCCCAAGAACGAGGAGAAAAAATGTAAAAAAGTTAACTCACGTAAAGTTGCCTTACTTGCTTTCTCTTCTCTTTCCCGCTGTGTTTGTGGTAACAGCTCATTAAACCCTGTGCTTATAATAGCTGTACCATGAGACAGGAGATTTCATTTCCCGTCCTGCTTTCCAGGGTGTGGCAAAACAAATGCACACTCCCCCCAGCCACGCCAGTGGTACTGTGGGGTTTGCAGTGCTCACCAAGTACAGGGTTAGCCCTAATGTCTTTCTTGTTCTGTTCTGCCTGTAAAAGAACTTCTGTTCCTGCCTCTAGGAAAGAAGAGAAACTGGGATTCCTCCTTTGAGAGATGTGGGGCTCATGTTTGAAGAGTATGTGATGTTTTTCTCCCCCTGACCAGTGTAAGCATCGAGAACTGAGATACTTCTGGTAGCTTTTGAGAAGTCTGTGAGCCGTGCCTTCTTGCAGAGGAGCCGGAGTCTATTTGGATGATTTGAATCTTTGCCATCATTTGGAGCAGAATGAAGCTCTGTAAAAGGACAGCGACTGAATGCCAACTGGGTTGTCATCAGCTCAGGCTGCCCAGGAAGCAGCTGATGTGCAGTTTGTGGTGGAAGTCATGCAGACAGAAGGGGTATGACTCAGTGGTGGAGAGGCCCCAGCCTCTGGCTGTATTCCGACCCCAAAGGTGTATTCTGGGCTTGCTGTTGGGAAGGACCAGGGACAGCTAATGGCTGCATATACACACATCACTGCATAAAACAACACAAAGACTCCAAGGATTCCCACGTGACTGTCCCTTTTGCAGAAGGCTGTTAATGTTGCAGTGATGTTGGGTGCTGCTGGCCCAGCTCCATCTTTCTTCCACATTAATCAGTGGAAACGTGTCCTAGTCTTGAAGTCTGGTGCTTTAGAAATGAAAAGCTTAATGGCTTTCCTTGGCTTTTTTTTTTTTCTTTTATGAAGCATAGGGTGTTTAGAACTATGGAAGCAGTGCAAGAAAAATATTAATGAATAACTATGGAGCGCAGACATTAATGCATTCCTTTCTCTTGAAATAACTGGCTTTTCTCTGTGGGCTCCGTAAAAGAAAAATGTCTCCAGAGTCTGAACCTGCTGTATAGAAGCCAAAGTAGATGGTGATTTAGAACTTCACTGGCTTTTTTGCTAAAATGTTACCTCTGCATTTATCATGTGGCAAAAAAAATCTCTCTTTCTTTGCAAAATGATGACCCTGTAGAGGCAAGATAAACCGAAGGCACAGGGGCAGTTCTTGAGGTTCTGGCTGATGAATATCTGGGTGATGGAAACTGAATGGAAAATGCTTTCTAGGACCCCCTCCGACACCCTAGACCCTAACCGATGTTGGAGCGGGGGGAATTAAAGCATTGCAAGCACTCCACCATTGGAGTGTTTTCCAGGGGTGCATTTTGAGGAACCGAGTAGCTTTTCTGCTTTTGTTTTCCTGCAGTTATGAATGGAGGAGAACATGAAGTGGATATGGGGCTGCACTACAGTAACTAAACTCCCAGCTTTGAATCGCACCTTTCCCAGGTCAGGCCTGAAAACTGCAGGTCAGATCAAAGGCAGTGGTGTTTCACAGCCTTGCTAGTAGAAGCTGCCCATCCTTAGAGGGAACACTGGATACTTTTAAGATTCAGCTGGACAGGGTGCTGAGCCATCTTGTCTAGACCGTGCTTTTGCCAAGAAAGGTTGGACCAGATGATCCTTGAGGTCCCTTCCAACCTGCTATTCTATGATTTTATGAAAATGCAAAAGCGGGGCAGTGGAGAGGGACCCCATTGCTGACCACCAGTGGAAATGGGAATAATGCATCCCGGAAATGGGAATAATGCATCCTTGCCTGTGCCACAGAGGCAGGCTGCACCGATAGATGTTGTCCATGTGTCCAGTGGAGAAGCAGGAAGCTTAGGAACCTGCTTAAGAAAGATACTTTTGGATCTCTGTTCAGTGTTTAAACCCCTGACTGTTCCTCCTTCTTGACTTGGTTCAAGACCATCCCTTCCTCCGGCCTTGGCTTCCTAACATGCTTTTGCTACCTGGCGTGCCACAAAGGTTGGCAAACTGCTTGGTGGCTTTGTCCCTGTGTCCAAACCTGCCAGGGATTAAACGCTTGCAGTTGAGATCATTACGCAATTGAAAAGAGAGAAGGAGGGATGAAAAAAAAACCCTCTTTCGAGGCGGTTTTCTTTGGCGGGCTCCCGCAGGAGCAGTCCCCTCGCCTTCCCCCGCCTGCTTCCCCCGGGCCCGCGGGGTTTGTAGCTGCTCCCCGGGAGCCGCCGGGACGTGTAGTCTGGGCCGGGCTCAGACTGAGGGGGCTGGCCGCGGGGGACGCCGTCTCCCCGGGGTGGTCTGCAGGGCCCAGCGGGGGTCCCGATGCCCGCGGGGG